AGAACTCGATGCGCGGCGCCCGCGTGAGCAGGAGGTCCTCGTGGCGCGTGGCGCGCGAGAGCAGCACATAGAGCTCCAGCCACCAGTCGTCATCCTCCTTCTTGCCGTTCCCGACCTCGTGGCGGCCGCAGTCCAGGATCACGCCTGGGCGACTCGGCCGAGGGAGCAGTGCGCCGGGCAGCCGACGGCCCAGGGCGAGAGTCCACAGGACCGAGGTCTGGCCGCGGACTGCTCGCGCCCCGGAGGTCTGGCTGTCCCCGGAGCGCCGTTCCCCCGCCCCGTCGCCTTCGCGCATGGTGCGCCCCTGGCACGCCACCGTGGTGATGACCCTGCCGTGCGAGAACGGGAAGCCCGTCCGCGAGGACGGGAATGACCTCGACACTTGGACCTGAGATGGAGCTCCCTGTGGGGCCACGAAACGTGTGAAGGGGTGCCATGCGAACTGCACCACTGGGACCTTAGGTGCAGCTCCCTGAGGGGCCACGAAACGTGTGAGGGGTGTGCCAAAAAGGGGCGGTGGCGCCATGCGAGCTGCGCCACTTGGACCTCAGGTGGAGCTCCCTGAGGGGCCACGAAATCTGTGAGGGGTGTGCCAAAATGGGGCGGTGGCGCCATGCGAGCTGCGCCACTTGGACCGTAAATGGAGCTCCCTATGGGGCCACGAAACGTGTGAGGGGTGTGCCAAAAAGGGACGGTGGCGCCATGCGAGCTGCGCCACGTGGACCTTAGGTGGAGCTCCCTATGGGGCCACGAAACGTGTGAGGGGTGTGCCAAAAGGAGCTCCCTGAGGGGCCACGAAATCTGTGAGGGGTGTGCCAAAATGGGGCGGTGGCGCCATGCGAGCTGCGCCACTTGGACCTCAGGTGGAGCTCCCTGAGGGGCCACGAAATCTGTGAGGGGTGTGCCAAAATGGGGCGGTGGCGCCATGCGAGCTGCGCCACTTGGACCGTAAATGGAGCTCCCTATGGGGCCACGAAACGTGTGAGGGGTGTGCCAAAATGGGCGTGCGGGACGCATGCGGGCACACCCACTGGGACCTTCGGTGGAGCTCCGTATGGGGCCACGAAACGTGCGATGATGGCGACGAGGACAACGATGATGGTGATGACGACGATGATGGTGATGATGACGATGATGGTTATGATGGCGGCCATGATGTTGATGCTGATGACGATGATGATGATAATGATGATGATAATGATGATGATGACGATGATGATGATGACGATGAGGATGATAGGAGGGGAGAGGAGGCGGAGGAGGAGAGGAGGAGGAAGGAGACGCGGGGCACCGTCTCTTCAAAACGAGGACCAACACCACAGGATGGTTGGGAAAAAATTGAAAGTCAACGATTTTACCCGCTTCAGGCTCTCTCGGGACGGCTCTCGAAGCTCTTGGGCTGTTTGGGGGGCCTCGTCGGAGAATTTTTGGGGGGCCTCTCAAGGGTCTGGGGGTTCCCGGAGTCCTCTCGGAGGTCTCTGGCAGCCTCTTGCTCCCGCTCTCGGGCTCATCTTGGGCCTGTTCTGGGGTGGTCTGGAGCTGTCCTGGGCGCCTCTTCGGCAGTCTTGGGGCTGTCTTGGCTCGTCTTGGGGCCGTCTTGGGGGCCTCTTGGGCGGTCTCGGGGCGGTCTTGGGGGCCTCTTCGGCCGTCTCGGAGTGTTGGAAGCATGAAATGGTGAGAAAGCCAAAAACCATGAACAATTACTCCGACGGAAGGACCCCACACGATAATCTGTTTAGCTTTCCCTTATCCCTTTCCTCCCGGCCATGGCAAACACCCTCGTATCGCCTTCTCCTCTGCCATTTTTTCCTCTTCTTCTATTTCCCCCCCCTCCTCCTCCTCCTCCTCCTCCTCCTCCTCCTCCTCCTTTTCCACCTCCTCCTCATCGTCGCCCTCCCCATACCCCTTCCGTCCTCATCATCCTCCTGCCTCTTTTCCACGCGCACGTCCCTTTCCCCCCTTCCTCCTCCGCCTCCTCCTCCTCCTCCTCCTCCTCCTCCTCCTCCTCTTTCCTCCTCCTCCTCCTCCGACCCCTCCTCACGACTCGGTCTGGCGCTGGCCCCCTCCCCCTCCTCCCCCTCCTGCTGCTCCTCGCCTCCTCCTCCTCCTCCTCCTCCTCCTCCTCCTCCTCCTCCTCCTCCTCCTGCTCCTCCTGCTCCTCCTCCCCTCCTCCTCCTCCTCCTCCTCCTCCTCCTCCTCCTCCTCCAGGACCCCCGGGCACGTGCATCTATGAAAAACTCTCTCAAATGCTAATTGTTTCATAATGAAAATAGGGCGTTGCGTCGTTTTCGTTCTCGAGGGGCCGTTTTCGTGACGCATGCCAAAGAAAAACGTACATTGCGTTCCATCCCCCTATGGGGAAATTGCAAAATGTGCTGCTCGTCATCCGCAATCATCGATTTCAAAGCGTTTCGTGAGGGTTTTCCATCGAGCGCCCGCGCCAGGCTCAGCTCCGTTTCCGGCCAACGCGATTCCTCCCCCGACGCCCGAGAAAAAAATGCGTTAGTGACCCCTTAGTCCATTGAAACATCGGTGTTAGGAAAAGGGGGGGTCAGAAAAAAACTGGAGAGGGGACCTTTTCAAGTTCCCTCTCCAGTTGGAACGCGCGGGAAAGTGAACCTTTGCAAGTTCCCTTTCCCGCTGCTGGAGAGGGAACCTTTTCAAGTTCCCTCTCCAGTTGGAACGCGCGGGGAAGTGAACCTTTGCAAGTTCCCTTTCCCGCTGCTGGAGAGTGAACCTTTGCGAGTTCCCTCTCCAAGGGAAAGTGAACCTTTTCAAGTTCCCTTTCCCGCGGATGAAGGGTGAACCTTTTCAAGTTCCCCCTTCACTCCGACGACAAGGGGGGACAGGGAACCTTTGCAAGTTCCCTCTCCCGCAGCTAGAGACGTCGAACCTTTTCAAGTTCCCTCTCCAGCCCAATCCTGCCACGAATGGGAAAGTGAACCTTTTCAAGTTCCCTCTCCCGCAGCTAGAGAGTGAACCTTTTCAAGTTCCCTCCCCAGCCCAAACGAACGCGGGGGAGTGAACCTTTTCAAGTTCCCTCTCCCGCCGACGACGACAAGGTTGGCCAGCAATTGGACGTGGGCAAGTCGAAAGAGAATATTCAGGCCGCAGGAGCGAGTTCCCCTTCGATCCTCCAAGTGACGACAAGAGACGGTCCTCAGACGGGACTACCCGCACCGCCCACAGACAAAGTTCCCGCTTGATACTTCCCCCTTGTTCAGGCCGCAGGAACTGAGGAGCCCAAAAAGCTCGCTCGGATGACCCGCTCGGGTTCGAACATGAAGTGCGTGCCCCACAGGGATGGAGCGCCCGCCTGATACTTCTCCCATATTCAGGCCTCAGGAGCCCAAAAGCGACGACAGTTACAAGATTCCGATGGCCCGCCTCGGATTAGTAACATGATCTGGGGGCCCCATAGGGAGGAGACCCCCGCCTGAGACTTCCTCGAAATTCACTCACAGACGAGGCTCCCGCCTGATACTTCCTCCAAATTCACGCCCCAGGAGCCCAAAAGTGACGACAGTTACAGGATCCCGATGACCCGCCTCGGATTGGTAAGATGATCTGCGGGCCCCATAAAGAGAGGCTCCCGCCTGAGACTTCCTCGCAATTCACTCACAGACAACGCTCCCGCCTGATACTTCCTCCAAATTCACGCCCCAGGAGCCCAAAAGTGACGACAGTTACAGGATCCCAATGACCCGCCTCGGATTAGTAAGATGATCTTCGGGCCCCATAGGGAGAGGCTCCCGCCTGAGACTTCCTCGCAATTCACTCGCAGACGACGCTCCCGCCTGATACTTCCTCCAAATTCACGCCCCGGGAGCCCAAAAGTCACGACAGTTACAGGATCCCGATGAGCCGCCTCGGATTAGTAAGATGATCTGCGGGCCCCATAGGGAGAAGCGCCCGCCTGAGACTTCCTCGCAATTCACTCACAGACGAAGCTCCCGCTAGATACTTCCTTCAGATTCACGCCCCAGGAGCCCAAAAGTGACGACAGTTACATGATCCCGATGACCCGCCTCGGATTAGTAAGATGATCTGCGGGCCCCATAGGGAGAGGCTCCCGCCTGAGACTTCCTCGCAATTCACCCACAGACGACGCTCCCGCCTGATACTTCCTCCAAATTCACGCCCCAGGAGCCCAAAAGTGACGACAGTTACAGGATCCCGATGACCCGCCTCGGATCAGTAAGATGATCTGCGGGCCCCATAGGGAGAGGCTCCCGCCTGAGACTTCCTCGCAATTCACTCACAGACGACGCTCCCGCTTGATACTCGAGTGAGTGACGGACTGACTGAGTGATGTGTGACGCCAACGGATGATATCCTCATGTGATGATCATGATGAGTGAGTGAGTGAGTGAGTGAGTGAGCGATCGAGTGGTGTATGGGTAAGTGTGATGGTGCTGAGGAGGAGAGGCGTGGGTCATGATGATGATGACTGATGATGATGATGATGGCGAGAAAGAGGAAGAGAGAGAGAGAGAGGGTGTGAGATCCTGCGCGGGGGGTGTGCAGAGAAAACAAGAACCCCACTTTGGATGCGGGGAAAAAAATGACAATTAACGATTTTAGGTTCTCCCGGCACTCTCGGGAGGCCTCTCGGAGCTCTCTTGAGGTCTTGTGGAGGCCTCCTGGGAGCCTGGAGAGCCGCCCGAAAGCTATCGTGGATTGCTCGGGAGCGTCTTGGGCTTTTCTTTGACGTTCTGGGGGCTTCTTGAGGTCGTCTCGGGCGGTCCTTGGGCGTTTGGGGGGCTCTTCGGGAGGCCGGGAAGCGCGGCACCGGGAGCGTAGTCGAGATGTGAGCGAGGTGGAGGACGCCTCGGGAGGGGGCCCAGCGTATTTGTATGTATGTGTATATATATACATATATATATATATGTGTATATATATATATATATATATACCGGCACATGTGTATGTGTATATAAAGATATCGCACCCATCCTCGCCGAAACGGCGGTTTAAGAGCCGCTCCCGGCGGGGGGCACCAGCGGCGCAGACCCGCCAGGCGCTGCCGCGCACACGCCGTCCAAGAAGTCGATGATGGCCAGGGACTCGGGGCGGCCGCCAGGTAGCGGCGGAAGGCTGACTCGCATGCTCTGGCACAGCCCCAACATTGAGGAAGAGCAACATTGCACAGGCAGAAACTTTTGGAGATCTGCGCGGATTTCTTGGATCGGCGCTGAACCCCCTGGCGGCGGCTCCGGCGCCACCCCTTGCTCGCTCGGCGCGCCAGGGAGGGGGGTCCAGCGCCGATCCCAGAAAACCTCACCAAACTCCCAAAACATGATGTGTTTGCAGTTCTTTGGGGATAGACCCATACGTTCAACGTGCTGAGTCAAATGAAGACATCATGTTTTCGCCTCGTTCGGCGTCTGGACGCCCTCGACGGGGCTCCAGGACCGCCAACACACTCAGGATGAAAAGCCGGCCCTGGGGAAAGGGTTGAGACGTCCGCGGACCCCAGGGTCCTGAGGTAGCTCTTGAGAGGTCTTCGTGTGAGCGACTGAGCCCGATTGAGGGGCGATCATGATGTCACAATGCAGCCAGTGATAAAGGCCCCGACACAGATAATTGGCGCGGGGTCGAGCAAATCAGGAGTGCTCTTTCGGGCATCGAGGCGGGCACAAAGCAAGGAGCTCCCAATCACCCATCCCTCACGAACGGCGAACATATTAGCGATAATCACGCATTCGCGGTCTGCATTTCGAGGCACGATCCCGTGAATACGCGGTCGCTTGGCTGCATGGGTATGTTCCGCGCTGGGCATCCATGACAAAAGACGCCCCGTATCCATGGGGTCGCGGCCCAAAAGCCCGGGCACGCGATGCCGTGGATAAGATAGTATGTTCCCCGCCCACGAGATTCCATCACGCCCATCCCACCCGAAAGCCCTGGTGTTAGCCTCCTCCTCCTCATGCTCCTCCACATGGTTCTCCTCTTCTCCATTATGATTATCCTCCTCGTCCTCCTCGTCATCCTCCTCCGCCTTCTGCTCTTCAATCCTCGTCCTCCTCCTCCTCCTCCTCCTCCTCTTCATTCTCCTCCTCGTGCGCTTCTGCTCGATCCTCTTCCTCCTTCTCCTCCTCCTCCTTCCCGGGGGCTCCATGCGCCAGCCCCGAGCGCCAGCGAAGCCTGCGTCAACGCGTGGCGCCTCCCCCCGCCGTCCACGAACGACAACACGGGCACCTTGCGAGAGTCGGGAGTCGGGAGGGGGAACCCACACGGTGTGGTGACCACACGGCGTGGTAAGTCGGTGGGGATCTGCGGTCACCGCAGTGGGCGATCGGAACATCCGATGTTCCAAGACCGTACGGTGACGTACCGCGCGGTGAGGTTTCCTGGGATGTCAAGGTCACCGCGCGGTCTGTCACCACACGGTTTTGGGACCCCCGAGAGAGGGGCCAAACACACATCATGGCAACGCCGCAGGGATCGGGAGGCGGCCACCTGCGGCGGCGCGCCGAGGGGGCAAGTCTTCTCAGAAGGCGGCGGGGCCTCTCAGACCCCCCCCGGCCTTCGGAGAAACCGCCTGCGTCTTCCGGGAAGGCTCGGAGAGGTTTCTGAGAATTTCTAAACCTTCTGAAAAAGGCCCGCCCCCTCTGCCTTCCTGCCTGGGCACGCCGCCGACACCTCCATCGATGGGTCGGACGAAAAGTAAGGGGGCAGCGACGAAAGGGTTAGAGGATCAGCCCGCGCATCTGGTTTCTCTGACGCCCTCAGGGCAAGTGCATCAAGGAGAGCGTTTGGCGGCGGGGCCGAAGCCAGCTGCACGCATCAGATTTCGTGACACCCCTTTTCCCAGGCCCCCCCCTCTCGTCCGACCCGAGACACCAGAGGCCTCCCAAATTGGGCCAAAGTAGATGGGGCCGGGGGGTCGCACCGCATCGCCGATGCATCGCCAGTGCACAGGTGAAGTCGGGGCGAGGAAAATCGGTTTGTGAATCGCGCCGCCTCGCCGATGCATCGGATATTCGGCGCGACCATCTGACACCAGCCCCATTTCGGAGGCATGGAAACACTGATTAGCGAGAGAAGGGTGAACAAGGGAACGGCAACACACGCACACAAAGAGACGCAGCCAAAAAGGAGAGAGGAACACCGTTGCCCCCAGGGCGGCACCGAGGGCGCTGTCGATGGGCACGCGGATGTACATAAAATGATAAAAAGGCCCGCGTCTCCGCCCCAGGCAGCAACATATCTCCGAGAGGAGGAGGAGATGATTCTCGATAGTATCTGGAGGCCTTTGAAGGCCCCAAAATCAATCAGAAAGCTGTAAAAAATAGCATTGATCCTTGATCCTTCCTTCCCTCTCCCTCGTCTGGTCTGGGCACCTGCTCGCGATGAGCGAACAACCAGCCCTTGAACCTATAGGGAGCCTGACACGCACCTGGCCTCCTCCTAGGGACGCACTAAACGTTCGAGCGCTAATTGATGGATCCTGGAAGTGCCGCCCTCGATCGGCGATCCCAGCCTTCATCATATACCTGCGGCCTTTTGCACCTTGGCCCCCAAGGCTCGTGGAGTTCACACTTTCAAACACGTTGGGGGCATGTTTCTCTCTGCGAGGGCAAAATGCCCGTGTTAAGTTGAATTCTATACAGTTCTGCGCTACGCACCCGCGGCAGCCGCTGCGGCCGTTCTCGCCAGGCGAGCCGCCGCCCCGCGGGCGCGCGCCTCCTCGGCCGAGGCGAAGCCGTAGGCCGCAGCCACGGCCTAGGCTGGCGGCAGGATGAGGACGCCGTCGGCAGCGCTGGCGCCCGAGCTCCCGCCTGCGGCCGCCGTGGACGTCCGCTGGCGCCTGGCTGGCCGCTCGTCCTCGCCGACCTTCGCCCGCGGGCGCCCGCGGCAGCGCTTGCGCCCTTGTCGCCGTCCGCCGCTGGCCCCAGCTTCTCCGCCCATCGGCTCCGCACCTCGGCAGTCGGCGCCACGAGCGCCCCGAAGGCCTTTTTCGGCTGGGGCCCTGGCGGCAGGCCGCGCTCGAGGTCGTTGCGCGCATGCGCCCCCTGGCGGCAGCCCCTGCGCATTCGTCGCGGAGCCCGCGCCGGCGCATCTCGGGCGTCCTCGCGCGCGCGAAGCACGCGGTGCAAGCAAGGAACTCACCAGCTTCACCCTCGACGCGGCCCATCATCAGCTGGCGGCCTCGGACCTGCAAGCGGCGGCGGCCGTCCGAGGGCCGACCTTGCCGCCCGCCGCTGGCGGAGCCCGGGCCCGTCGCGCCACGCGCCTGTCGGCGGCTGGCGTTGTTGCGGCAGAACTTCCGGCCAAGCCCAGGCCGCCGGCGCCCGCCGCCGCCGCCGCCGCAGGCCGCTTCCGCACTGGCAGGGCGCCTCCGCGCCCCACCGAGCTCGAGGCCGCCGCCGCGGCCGACGCCATCTGCGCTGCAGCTGCCATCGCGCCGGGGGAGGGGCCCAACCGCCGCGCTGGCCTCGCTGGCCCCCCACTCGGGCACGCAGAAGTCGAAGCCCTCGGGCGATGCCATCGGCCGGCAGCCCTTGGCCCCGCGGTCGGCGACGCGGACCTCGACCTCCGCCGCGCACCTGGCCACATCTTGGGCTCGAGCCGCGAGGCCCTCCAGAAGCAGTATATCTTCGTCATCCACTGCGTGTAATCCAGCTCCGAGCTTGGCCCTCTGGTCGGCCAGGCGGCCCCCGTCTCGCTCCTTCGCCGAGATCTCGCCGCGCCGGACCGCCCCCTCTGAAGCGCGGGCCGGGATGTGCCTCGCCGCGGCCCCCATCGATCTCGTCACCGACCCGCGGCCGCAGATGGGCGCGAAGCGAGGTCGGCCCCTGAGCGCGCTGCAGGTTGCCGATGAAGTCCACGGTGCCCTTGCGGTCGTCGAGGATCTCGTAGGCCCCGATGATCTCCTTCAACGCAGCGACCGCCGCGTAGTCCTCGCCTGCCCGCGCTGTCTGAGTGGGCATTTCGGGGCCGCGCCCCAGGCCTGCGCCGTGATCTGGCCCTCCTGAGACATCGCGATGACTGCCCGTCCCGCGCTGTGGAGGGCGGGGAAGCGGCTGTTGATGCAGGAACCGTCCGTGAAGCCATCTGGCCTGCTGTTGCCCCCAGCGAAGCTGCCAGCGCGGTCTCTTCTTCGACAAGGGCGCCGCGTCGACGAAGAGGCCCTGGGCGAACAGCTCACCAAACTATTCCCCGAGGTTCCGCGTCGCGCTGGCTCCCATGCAGCAGGTCTGCTGGATGACGATCTCGTCCCCAGCCATGCCAGGCCGGGCACTCGAAGTGTCGGTGGAACATCGCCCCTGCCCCCCATTGGCACAGGAAGCATGCGGGGCTGATTTCTGACTTGCGCCTGGCGGGCCAGGCCGGGGCCACTGGAGCAGCGACGCCAGCCAGCGCGGGCAGCCCTTGCGGTGGCGGGCCCAGGTCTCCGTGGCTCTCATGCGCTGCAGCTCGTTGGCTGGCGTCCACGCTGGAGGCAGACGCCGCGGCCAGGGCGCCTCGGCGCGCGTGCGGTACTCCTCCATGCATGGCGGCCGCCCTCCTGGTCGCTTCGCGAGCGCGCTCCGCCAGGGAGGCGGGCGACCAGCACCGCGCGTCGAACTCCGCGCCCAGCTCATCCTTGATGGCGAGGCCGTCCAGCGCGAACTGCCAGCCGATGCGCTTCAAGGTGAGCACCAGCGCCGCCGCGGGGTCTCGCACCGAAGCCCATGGCCTCTGGCTGTGCTCGAGCCCGAGGCTGGACGCCGAGCAAGCCTTGACCGCGGCTGGCCAGGCCTGGCGCGCCCCCGTCGCGCAGACGAAAGCATGCACGGCCATGCCCGTCGCGATGGACGGGGGTTCTGGCGCCAGCCGCTTGCGGAGCAGTGCAGCGCGAAGCTGAGCGCTACTCCTGGGGCCAGCCGCCCTGCACCGTGGGCCGCCGCCACCCTCAGAACCCGCACGCGGCCAGGCGGCACTCCAGAGGTCGCTGAGCCCCAGAGGGCTTTCGCCGTCGGCCCCGCCCTCATCACCCTGGCTTGCCGCAGACCTGGACCGAATATCCGTCCGAAGCGAGGCGTCTGTCGCAGGGCTAAAACCTCACGCGCCGCGAGCGTGGTCACACTGCGGTGGGCCCCCGCCGTTGCGTCGCCTCCGAGGTCTCGATGTCCTGAGACGAACGCTCCTGCAGGCAGCGGCCAGCTCTCCTGCGCCTGCAGCGTCCTCTGCAGGTCGACCGACGATGCCAGCACTTTCGTCTTGCTCCAGTTGACGGGCAGGCGCTTGTCACGCAACACGGTGGGGGCATTTGTTTAGCTCTTCGAAAGCCGCAACCCGCGCATAATTCATTCAGCGGCCGCAAAACAGTGCTTGCACAGCCCGCAGGCGGGACCCGCAGCCCCCAAAGCGGCGATTACCTCCGCGCCCACCGTTGGCCTTCGGCCTGGGGTCCACCGCCTGCGTACTCACAGTCGCCGCGCACGCCAGCCGCCCGCGCGACGTTCAACGGCTCCGACGTGGCCTCGGCCTCGCGTTCGCCGCGCACGGTGGACTCGGCATCGGAGCTGCTGAGCTGGTCTCGGGCGCACCAGGCCTCGGGGGGATGGAACCACCCAGCCAGGCGAGCCAGCCACATCGATGCCATCCGTCGGCGGATCCACCTCAGGCGCCGAGGCTCCATAGCGCGCACCAGCTCTTGCTTCGCTGACTGAAGTTCCTCGTCGCACTCCTGCGCGCCTCGGCCAGCGCCGTCGGGCACGCCCAGCGCGTCGAGGAGCACGATTGCCTCGCCCTCGTCGGGGCTCATAAGGTCCAAGAGCGACTCCAGTCGTGGATCGGCCATGGATAGCACCGCCGCCCTCATTGGATAAGGACTCCTGCAGGGTCTGGCGCCTCCTGGGGCTATTCCTTAACAAGCGCCTCCACCGTGCAAGTGATATAAACAAACAACGCCGGCGGATTTCCTGTGTCGGCGCTGGACCCGCCCCCCTGGCGCGCGAAACGTTTTTGGGGCGGCGCCGGAGGCGCAATCAGGAAGGTCCAGCGCAGACCCGAGAAATCCGCGCGGACCTCCGAACGTTTGTACTACCAGATGCTTTGCTGTTGCATTGTGAACCACAGGGGATATCTCTCCCCCGTCTCAGCCTCATCCCCCCTCCTCTTCACACACACACACACACGCACACACACGCACGCACACACACACACACACACACACACACACACACACACACACACACACACACACACAC